CAGTGCCTGTCTCCACTGTCAGAACCAGTGGGCCGATCAACAGGTGTAAGCCTCTGTGCTTTGCATCTGTAGCTGCCATAGGCGGAGCCTCCCTCTGGCTGGCCTGACACCAGGGCAGGGACTGCCTGTTTGAGAGCCAGTTCCAAGGCACAGCAGGCTGTGTATCACAGTGGGGGGCCTCTGGGCTGAGTTGCCAGCCAGGGGGATGAAGCGCCCCTGAAGCTCGTGAAAGTTCCCAATCTGATGGGCAGAGTGCACCCAGACAACCTTGTCCACCTACCCCTTCTCCCGAGTAGCAAGCTTTGTTCAATCCCTGCCCCTTCAGCAGCCCTCTCAGTGCTTGGAAGCCTCTCAGATTCCCCACCTTTCCTTTGTCCCAGGGCAGCTGGATGTGGTTCCCTTTCCTCCACAGATGGCTGTAATCTCAGTCTCTCCAAATGCTCTGCTTGTCATAGCTTTCCAACTCCACTAATCTTCAGAGCACCATGCAATTTAGGTTTATGCTCCCACAGCAGATCTCCGGGACTGGGTGTTCAGCTGGATCGCTTTGGTACGTTACCCTGTTTTGTGAGGTCTGCTCTGTTCTCCAGGTGTATGCAGTCTGGTGCAGACTTCTTTCCTGTTGCTCTTTTAGGATTAGCTGTTATAACTATATTTTTATATTACATGTGATTTTGGGATGAGTTCATTGTCTCACCTCTCACACCACCATCTTTAATTTCTCTCAAGCTATCTGTCCTGTATTTTTTAGTGTAAATTTCACTGCCTTTAATAGTCCTCAATAAATATTTATTGACAATTACTATAAAATGATAATATCTTACATTGGAAAAGGTATCAGGCTGGTTTTTTTAAAATAATCAAAGACATTAGTCAGAAGTTAGTTCATCCTCTGTCTTTTAGTGGAAGAGAATATCCTACAGCCAACACCCTAAGTGCTGGCGTTCTTTTGTGTCCAGAGTAAACAGGAGCCCAATTTTACTTTAAAGGGGGAGGGAAGCTCTGCCTTAGAATGCCTGGGCAGACGCTTAGCATCCTTCCACATGATCTGGGGTCTGAGAACCCAGCTGGGCACCCCCACTACCCCCTTTGGTAATTCCTCAACAACTTGGTATGTTCTCACATTGCTGAAGAAACCTGAAGGATTTGGTGAGCAGGAAATAAGCTGCTGGGAGAGATAAGGTGGGCAGCTATGAATATAGATGAGAGAGGAAATGAGAATACTAATCTAGGGAAACAGCGCTAGCAGTTTGACTATAAACCAAGAATCATTGGAAAGAGTTCTTTCTCTAATTTAAGGGAGCTACCCCCTTATTCAGTTATGTGGGTTAGAACTGACAGCAAAACTGTCTGAATGGGGACTACATTTCCATGTGCTGCTGTATCTCTACTGATCAAGAATTTCAAAAAGGTGAAATTGAGTCTGTGAATTTTGTTTACCCAACCATTACTACTGTGTTATCATAAGTCCAAGAAATCCTTAACATTAGAAATAATGTTAATTTTTGCTCTTGTGTGTGTGTGTCATGCCTTGGCTATTCAGGCTGTTTTCATGAAGCAAAGGGGCTTTGTTATTATTGTTAACCAAATATGCAGCCATACATGGCAGTGGATGTAAAGGCAAAAGTATAGAAAATGTAACTGACCTCTATTCTCTGAAACATGACAGCTTGTCATCAAATATTTTATAAGGAAGGCCATAGTAGATGAATGGCCACCGTGTTAACTTAAGGAAATACTTCAAAATCTGATCATCGTGAAAATCATGGTCTGGTTGTATCCCGTTCTATGGCATCCATTCTGTACATTACTGATTGTGTGTCTCCGGAGGCCAAGTTGTAGCAGTGTGCACATTGGTGGATTGCAGTGTCCAGGTCAAGTCACTACTGGATCTGAAAGAAGCTTATGAAGTTGGCTTTTATGGGCCACTTAGAAATTTTAAATTTTATGACACATCCCATGTCATTTAAAGACTTGTGCTAATTTTGCTATTTTGTATTAGATCAGTCATTTAAATAGAGATTAAAAAAAAATAAATAAATCTGAAGTTGTTCCCCCTTGTCCACGTCTGTTGAGGCACCCCCTGTGTGTGTCCACCACTCTGTGACTGTACATGGGGCACTGAGTTACGCTGCTCAGTGAGTGAACTGAACCCAGGGACAAAGCTGCCTTAATCTCTACCCTCAGTACCAAGAGTTTACGTCAGGCAGGCAGGCAGTATTGGCTGTTGTTAAAATGTATTTGGACATTGTTTTATTATAGTTCAAGGTATAATTGAATAAGGATCATAAGTTCTTCATGTTTGATATAATACAGTTAAGGTTACATTGTCAGTGTTCAAAGATGAGCGTGCCTCTGTCCCTTTCCCCAAGTGGTACAGCTCACTGGGGACCAGAGCACATGAACCGGTAGTTACAGTGGGTGGTGTTCATGCCACATGTGCAGAGCTGTGCTCGGCTGCATTGTTGACATTCACATCCCTGGAGGTGGTCTTTGGCGTGGGGGCCGGCAACTAGGTGAGATTGGTCTAGTGATTGCCAGGTTGCAAAAGATGGCAACTTAATAGCTCTCTTTGATTTTTACAGGTTTTTTTAAAATAAGCTAGAGTATGCTTATATTTTAAGTGGGTAATAATTTCCTCTTAGAAAATGTGAGGATTTTATTATGCATCTTGCAACAAGTACTGATTCCCATACCACCAAATGGCAGACCAAGTCTGGGGTTTTCTCTTGGCTCTCTGGAGTCCTGAAAACAGACTTACAGACCTAAAATCAGTTGTGCCCATGGTACAGCTTTGAGAGGTGATGGGGTTTCTGTGTTGGCACAGTCCTTGTTTGATTGATCCATATTTCCTCTGTGATAAATCCTAAACAATTTAGATATTTCAACTGTGTATTTTTTTTTTTCAAATTGGTCATGTTTAGATCCTGAACTATTCAAAACTAAAATAGTCCAGAAAAGATAGAAAATTTCACTTTGGAAGTAAATTAAATTAAATAGGCCCTACCCTTTCCTATTTCTGTAGTTAATATATAATACTCTGATATACATGCACAATTAGTTTGTGAAAATCATTTCCCCACAACGTTGGACTGTCAGATGGGAGATCACAGCACTTGTGAGAGGCAGGGCTTGGTCCAGGTGGGTGGACTCTGGGCCCTCCCTGTTTTTATAGTCATGAACATTTTCATGCCATAGTTTATTGTTTGCTTGGGTGTCCGCTGTTTGTCGGAAGCTGTGTCTTGGGGGTCTGGTTCCTGTGACGCTGCCATGTGTGGGCTGTGCCCTATCCCTTGTGCTAACCTGTATCTGCCCCAGTCATTCCCTTGGACCATGCCTTCTATTTAGTTCTGAAGTCCCATCTCTTCACAGACGTAATCCTGGCCCACTGGTTCACTCCCTGTGGTGAATATCTTCTCGGTTGTTTTGTAGGTTGTGCTGGTGAGGTGGAATGAGCCATACCAGAAGCTGGCCACATGCGACGCAGACGGAGGGATATTTGTGTGGATTCAGTATGAAGGGAGGTGGTCTGTGGAACTGGTCAACGACCGTGGGGCTCAGGTAAGTGGGCAGGAACCCCTTCCAGAAAGATCGCTGGAGAGCAAGCCTGCAGCCCATGATTCCCAGCCCCTGAAGGCTCTCCAGAAATGCATGCAGGAGAACGACAAAGCTATACTCCTGCTTTTTGTTGCTCTTGACTGTCTCACTTGTTTAGAAGAGAAAGATCATACTTCCTTCTCTTCAGCTGTGCTGCTGTTGTGAGAACTCGCCGAGTTTTAAGGTTTAATTAAATCTGTGATATTATTTTTTACTACTCAGTGTGTGATTTCATGTTAAATTTGGATTCTCTGAAATGCTTAAGGCACATGCTTCTTGCTCCCTTTGAAAAGGTATTTCCCTGTGTTGGAGCCTCCATAGTTCTCTCCAGGGAGCCCCACACGACTGTGCTCACAGCCTGCTCACATCCTGCTCACCAAGCTGAGTCTTTAACACTCTTCTATCGGGTTTCAATTAGCATGCCCACCTGTTGTCGTCTGCAGGCTCTTCCTTTCTAACACAAATTTGTCTCTGTTCTGAGGGAAACCATTGCTTCAGGGACTCCCTGCTGAGCTGTGCTATTTTAAAATCGCTCCGTAGATTCTTCTGGTTCCGCACAGCCCTAGCTCTCCCTAGCTCTCCCTCCCATGGGAGGGTAGGCTGTGTGGAGCTGCTCTTCTCTGGCACCTAAGGACACACATCCCATCCTAGGCATTTGACAGAACTATGGCCTCAGAACCAAGTCCTCAGGGAACCTTTATCGATGAGGGTTTTCTTAGGCTGTTTAAACTCTCCACAGATGGTTTCCTGTGACTGCCTTTCTATACATTTCTAAGGAAATGGATTCGCAACCTCTTTTCTCCCATCTGTTGCTTAAATAAGCTACAAGCTCCCCAAGTTTGAAAGATACAGACCAGTGAAGAGGCATAAAAGTGCAAGAAATGAAGATATTATTAGCAGCTACTCTTAGGCTGAGGATCTTTGCAAGATGCTATCACAGAAGACAAACTTACCTCTGGGTAAAAACAGAACATTCTCTTTTTGTGAACTGGTTTGTTTTAGGCTAAATGGAATCATTCTGACTGACTTGGAAAAGGCCTTGTCAGTTTCCTGTATACATGAGGGAGGAAGGAAGAGGCACAGTGGGCCCCCCGATACTAACTAGCCTTCTTGAAATAGAGCTAGAGTTGTGGGAGTCTCCATGACCATGTAAGTTCATATCATCTGGAGGGCAGCCACTGTGGTCTAAGTCTGAGTGCTGGAGTCAGACTACATGGCCAACAGTCACCCTCTGAGACTTTTTAGCAAGAGACACCTAGCTGCTGGGCACCCCATCTTCTGCATCTGTAACATAGGGATTGTAATGGTACCTGCCCCAGAGGATCACGAGGGGCGATTAAGTAAGATTAGACATGGGAAGTGCTTATAACACAGTCTGCCCAGGATAGCTTTCAGCACATATTGTTACAGTATCATTATTATCACATGGTACTGCCTTGGGGTACGGCCTTGGGGCCCCTGCCGCAGGTACGGGAGTGCCCGCCCTTAAACCGTAGCCATAATGTCATCACCGAAGACCAGCTCTGGCCTTGAGGCAGCAGCTTGTCACAGCTTTCTGTAGACACTTACCTGAATTCTCCCAAGTGTCCCTAAAATGCCATAATTCTCCTGACCCCCAAGTGTGAACGTTTTTCCCTAGAAGGGCCCAGTGATCAGGTGAGACATGTCTTCAGACTTTGGGTGACAGGAGGTCTTTGAATCGTTACTCAGAGAAGACAGCAAAGATGAGTTAGGACAGAAGCCTACCAAGTGCCTGGCTTTTTCACGTGTTAGCTCTCAGTCTCCGTGGGATCCCTATTCAGAAGGTGTTTTTATTCTCAGTTAATGGAAGGAAAAAACCTACATCAGGAAGTAGTTGCAGAAGGAAGTTTGTGAATGGTAAGACCAGAATTTGACCCAGGTTTGAGTCCAAAATGCTAAATTTGTCACACCGTCTTGTTCCCAGTCAACAAACTTTTCTCTTAGAACAGAAACGCATGTATTCCTGGCATGTCCACAGAGCTCAGCCTTCACTGCCGCTAGAGAGCGCCGCCCTGTCGCCACCCTGCTTGCTCTAGAGCGCCGCCCCTCCCGGGAGTGAGCTTCTATCTCCTCCCTGGAGCAACTGTGTGGTGTCCGCCACCACTGTGGCCCTCAGCTTTTCCTTTCATTGAGAGTTTGGCACAAAAAAGCATGTTAGGAACAAAAAAGGAAGAGAACTTAAGACCTGGAGGTGAAGGAGCTCACTTACATGGACCAGAGAGTGCCTGAAAGCACCTAGAATCTCCCACATGCCTGTGCCTGTCAGGTTTACCAAAGTGGTAGCTCTTTCTTGTGACCTGATCCAGAATTTTATATAATTTTGCGGTTTGGAACTCTGACTCTGCAAACCTTGGAACCCACTGAGCAGCTGTCATTTTTAAACACTTGTGTTTTGCGGAGGTTTGGTCGCACTTTTTGGGGGGAAATATTTATTTATTTTATTACAGTATCATTGATATACACTCTCATGAAGGTTTCACAAGAAAAACAATGTGGTTACTACATTAACCCTTATTGAGTCACTCCCCCATACCCCACTGCAGTCACTGTCTGTCAGTGCAGTAAGATGCCACAGAGTCCCTATTTGTCTTCTCTGAGCTACACTGTCTTCCTCGTGACCCCATGCACACCATGTGCACCAGTCATGATACCCCGCAATCCCCTTCTCCCCCACCCCCATCCCTTCTACCCCTCCCCTTTGGTAACCACCAGTCCCTTCTTGGACTTTGTGAGTCTGCTGCTGTTTTGTTGGTTTGGTTGCTCTTAATTGTGTCAGACACAGATACTGTGTGAGTAAGGAAAGCATGTGCCCTGGTGATAGTGCCTCCCTCATTGAAGGAGGGGTGGCTTTGTGCACTTGAACGAGGAGGAGGGAGAGTTGTGTGGCTGAGAGGAGGAGCATTCTGGAAATCTCAGAGAAAAATAATACCATTTAGAAGAAATGATGGGTGATCCTTGTTATATAGCCTACCTTTCATTGTCACAAAGTGATCAAAACATTTGGCAGTAGCTAAGTGATGCTTTAACAGTTTCTTTTTCAGGAAATGATTATGAGTCCTCTATTTCAAAAGTGTGTCTGGAACAGTGCATGCATTATTTTATAGTATGGTTACCAAGGACAGCTGTGCCAGACACAGGCACGGGACAGTGTGAAGATAAGGTGCTGTGGGGCAGGGGGCCATCCGGGCTGCCACTCAGCTTGTTAATCCACATCTGGGAACACTCTCAGTGACACAGGAGCACAGCAGCCCTCTGCAACTGAAAAGCAGTGAGACCAAGGGGCCTTGCTGCTTGTTTTCTTTACAGCATTGGGTACTTAGTTCCCCTGTTTTTGTTTTTCCAACTGTGAAAACATGTTCTTACCACTCCATGCTGACCTAATCCAGTAAGTCCTATTGCTTCTTACAGACATCCCATATTACATTTTTGTGACTGTATGATTGGTGGTGTTGCTGAGAAGCTTCTTGTCACTGGCTATATGCTTTAGCCCTCTAGTAAGATGTTTTTCCTGTTGGTACAAATCTTTTCCAAGATAAATGAGTTAGAATGCATGTAAATCAGTAGCATTCTCTTTGCAAAATGAAAGGACTTATAAATTTTGTTGCAGAATTAATGTGTTGTCTCTAAAAAATGGTTTAAGTTCCTGAGTAAAACTGGATATTATAAATGGTTGAAGCATGCGGTCAGTGAAACTGAGGGACTGAGTTTACCTAAGCAAACAATTATTTTCAGTAACCTCAGACCAGCTGTTCAACAGCTCTCTCACAAATCTGTGCTATTGTCATGATGGGGACATGTGATCACTCAGCATAAACCCATAACCTCTGCTGGGAAAAAAGAAAAAAGTTCCTATCTTTTTGGTATTTGCTTATTTTTATTATACTATCTGAAATCTGGTATATATTCAGTAATGTCAAATTTTAAAGTTTGAACATTTCCAAATATAAGCAACCTAAAGCAATTTTATGAATGAAAAATTAGGCATAACTATAAATGAAGTAGAGATTACAAGGTAATCAAAGATAATTAAAAGATGCCTCTGTGATTCAATGGTGGGGGCGAGGAAGAATAGTTTTCTTTAATTGGGGTATAGTGACGTATAACGTATTACATTCACATATACAATATAATGATTCAATATTGTATATGTTGTGAAATGATCACCATAGCAAATCTGGTTAATTTCTGAGGAATAATTTTTTAGTGGTACTGAAATAACTAAATATCTGTGTGTGTGTGTGTGTGTGTGTGTGTAAAACCTTGATTAACTCATGCTCTCCACAAAAATTAATTCTAAATGAATCAGGGACATAGATGTATAAACTAAATTTCTTCTAGAAGCTTTGGGTTAGGTAAAGATCCTTTGATTAGACAAAAAACATGAGCCATGAAAGAAAGGAAATTGATATTGGCCTTCTCAAAATTTAAAACTTCTACTCTTTGAATGATAACATTAAGAAAATGAAAAGGCAAGCCACAGAATGGAAGAAATCATTTGCAGGTTACATATCTGATAAAGGATTAGAATCTGATGAAAATTAGAATTTTTGCTTCATAATAAGAAGGTAAAAAACTCATATGTGTATGCATATATATATATGTATGTATATGAATAAATGAATGTGAGTGGATATATGAAAAGATATAAATGGCAAGGGATATGAACAGACATATCCTAAAATGTACAGATATACATGAAATGATGCTCAACATATTAGTCATTAGGGAAATACACACTAAAAGCACAATGTCATACCAGTACATACCTATTAGAATAGCTAAAATAAAAGAGACTGACAAGACCAGCATTGGTGAGGTATGGACCTACTAGTTCTCTCATACTCTGCTGATGGGAGTGTAAAATGGCATACTACTTTGGAAAACAGTTTGGTAATTTCTTATGTAATTGGGAACTAAGTACCCAATGCTGTAAAGAAAATAAGCTCACCATATGACATAGTAATTAATTCCATTCATAGGTATTTACTCACGAGAAATGAAACCATGTGTCTACAGAAAGTCCTGCATGTGAATGTTCATAGTAATTTCAGAATAGCCAAATATTCAAACAACCCAAACACCCAGCAATTTGGGTAGATAAAAAAATTGTGGTATATTTATGCAATGGAATCTTACTCACCTATGAAAAGGAATGAACTACTGATATACATAAGAATGTAGAGTACTCTCAAAACCATTATACTAAGTAAAAACAGCCATAACAGAAGTGAACACTTCTGTTCTATGGTCTATTCCTGTGGAATTCTAGAATAAGAAACTAGTGATTGAAATTAGATTGCTGTTTGCCTCAGACCAAGGGTGAAGGTATGGGATTGACTTTATTTTGTTGTATGTAAATTACACCCCAATGAAGTTGATTTTTCAAAGTATAATAAATGCTGTGAATAACTAATTAGCAACAATTTTGAAAACTTACTTGAACTGGACAAATTCCTAAAAAAATAATTTAATAGAACTGACTCAAAAAGAAATAAAAAGCTTGAAAGCTTGACTGGTACTAAAACTATTAAGTAAATTGAAAAATGGTTAAAAATCTTACCACAAAATTCAGATCCATATTGTTTTACAGATATGTTATACCAAACTTCCAAGTAACAGGTCATCTCAGTTTATGCAAATTCTTCCAGGCAGTAGAAAAAGAAGGACTACTCTCCAGCTCATCCCAAGAGAGCAACATTAACCCTGGTAAAGACAAAGACATTACACAAAAGGAAATCATAAGTTTGTTTCATTCAAGAATACAGATGTAGAAATTCTAAACATATTAGCAAATTGATTTCAACTGTGTGTATAAAAGGTAGTACTTCACTTCCAAGTTGGGTCACTTCTAGGTATGCAAGTATTGTATAATAATGGAAAATCCATAGAAGTAATTCACTGCAATAGCAGATTAAAAGAGAAAGAATATGTGGTCATTTGAATAAATGCAGTAAATGCATTTGATAAAACTCAACACCCACGTATAAGTAATGTTTTCCAGTTAATTTTTTTTTTCACTTTGTCTGAGGGAATATTGTTAGCAGGGCTGAGAAAGATATATCATCAGAAGCTGAGAGCTTTACTACTTTGATAAGTGACCCAGAGTCACTGATGGAGAATCCATTACTCACTGGAAGCGGGATGCCATAGAACTGCAGCTAAAAGCAGGAATGCTGGAGCCATACAACCCTGGATCATCCTTGGCTCTGTCACTCCCAGCTCTGTGTGACCAAGGATAAGTTACTTTTCCTGTCAAACTAATGATTGGCTCCTTTTCTCTGTGTGTGTCTCAAAGGTGAGTGATTTCACATGGAGCCACGATGGAACACAAGCGCTTATTTCATATCGAGATGGGTTTGTCCTGGTCGGCTCTGTCAGTGGGCAGAGACATTGGTCATCTGAGATCAACTTGGAAAGTCAGATCACATGTGGCATATGGACTCCCGATGACCAACAGGTAAAGCCTCTTGAATATAAGTGTGTAATATCAAAACCTTGTAAGCTGAGGAGGATATGAGTTAAGTCCTATCCCGTGGGGATGAAGTGGTGAGGGAGGGAGGGTCGTAGCTCAGAAACCTCTAAAAGAATCACAGAGGTGGGACATGCCTTTGCTTCTGCTGTAGCTTGCATGTCCTGGATTGCAGTTCTGAATAAACCTGTTTTTGCTAGTAAAAAAAAAAAAAAAGAATCACAGAGGTAAAGAGCAATGAACTTGTCCAGGTAAAATGTTTTAAATATTTTAAATGAACCATAAACTGGAGAAATACTTCTCACCAAAGTGGTGAACATTGAGATAATATTTTAGTTATGAAAATATTCACACAAATTTGCTTTTTTTAAGTCTACATAAATAGCTGATTGATAAGTGGATTTTGGACATAAATAATAATTCACAAAAAGAAGTTCACTTAGTAATCATGTGATGGAAAAGTATGCATTCTCAGGGAGAAATGAAAAATAGCATAGTGAAATGAAGTTTTATTAGCAAAAAAATAGTAATAAAATTATACAAATAATTTACTGATTAATTATGAGAGTTCAATCAAATAACCTTTCTCATTCTTTGCTGATAATAATGTATGTTAGACCTTTGGGGAAGCAGTTTGGCAAAGTCCTAATAATTATCATCCACTTTGACCTGGTAATATACTTTTGGAATCTATCTAAAATAAACAAAAGGGAAGAAAATAAAAGTTGTACTCATTAAAGCATTATTTGTAATAGTAAAAATATGACAACAGCCTATTTGTCTGAAACTAGAATGGTTAAGTAAACTGTGGTATAACCACTATAGGACTATAGTTACAGGTTGTGTTTGTGAAGATGTAATAATCTGGAAGAGCTCTTAGATACAATATCAAGGGAAAACATTAGGATGCAAAATGGTATGTGTGATATGATTACCACATCATAAAACAACCAAAAGAAACTCACCCACTTAAGTGGGTATAAATGAACCAAAATGCCATGATAGGTTGTTATTTTGTGGTGATGAGTCTCTCTGGGTTATTTTCTAAAACTTAATTTCAAAATTTTCTTTAGTGTTCCTGTTTTACTTTCATGATAAAATAATGCATAATAACATGATAAAATTATGTATTAATATAATTCATTTTTTAAATATAAGGGTTGACTAGTTAGAACTTTTGTAAAATACAGAGCTTGTCTTTTCCAGTACAGCAGAACCCATAAAATACCAGGACATTTCCCACCAGAGATTTCAGTTCACTGTTGTAAAAGCAAGCAGCTTAATTTGGCACCCCAACTTCTACTTTGGGATCTTTATCTTATCTTTTTTTGTTTTTTTTCACTGAATTGCTTCCCTCTAGGCAGTATATATTCCATGTTACCATTTTTTTCAAGTAAAAGTAGCCAATATTTTTCTCTCTCTTCTTCAAATTAGTGTTATGAGACTTAGAATGTGTCAACTGCAGGCTTCTGCCCTCGCCCTCCCGCTAAGACTTCTGATGATCCACCTGCAGCCGCGTGTATTGTTCTGAAGCATTTAGACTTGTTTATGATTACAGCTTGTTTTTGTAGTTTTTCTGTCCCTACGTCCTGTGCAGAGTGGCCTGCTGCAGCCACTGAGTGGCCTCATGCAGGCTCTAGGCTCCCCACATCAGGCTCCTGCTCTGTGACAAGGGGTGTGAATCAGTACCTGCCTAGTGCCCATGGCTTTTGTAATGATCACATGAAGGCACAGATGGGAAGTCACTTACACATATGCAAGCGGCAGTCTTGACTTCCCATTCTTCCTTCGCCTACAGTGATGGGACCGGTGAGGCACATGTCAGTCCGCCAACTAGTTCCCCAACAGACTGCACAGCTAGAGTATGACAGGCATAGGACCCAGAGTTGCTGGGGACACAAGGAGTAAAGCTCAGTGCTTGCCTTTGAGGGGCTGGGGGCTGGGTGGAGGCAGCCCTGCAAGCACCCTGTGCTGCATTGCAGCCCAGCTGCTGTGGCGGCAGCCAGCATGTGTTGAAGGCATGCCACAGTGGAGATGGGCTGTGGCTTCAAAGCTGGGCAGAGGTGCTTGGACTTGGCTCTGTGGACCCATTGGCAGGACCGAGAGCAGCACTGGCAGGTGGTTGGGCTTCCAGCCCCCAGCCTCTATCCCGAGGAGTGCTTTTACTAGATCTGAATTTAGGACTAAAGGGTAGGATTTTGCTCAAGGAAAGTGCTTCACTGCCTTTACAAAATGATTGTAGACACTGAAGCCATGAGGATCTTGGAAGATCTTCACAGAGAGAAGAAATGGGTGGAGACTTGTTGGTCATGTTGAGAGATGTGGAAATACAATATTCCTTCTTTTCTCTGTTTCTGTCATTCTTTCATATCTCTTGTTTGGTTTGAAAACTATTAAAGAAAAGAGAATATGAAGACAGCCTAATGTTTGTAGTGTATGCCCTGAGCTCCTACGTAGGGAGGAGATGTTTAAAGCAGTGCCTCCTCTCTCTCAGCATGTGGCCTTTGAGAGGCCAGCTGTGTGTCCCCTCCTCACAGAGAGCCTCAGGCCCTTAATGCAGAGGGAACTGGCCTCCAGGATGAAACCACCTCTTCCTCTCTTGAGACAGTTCTGGTCATAATAGGACTTTAGGCTGCTTCCTGTTACTTTAAAAAAATACAAGCAGTACTGTTTTATAAGCAGTAAGTTTGGAGACCAACTATTTTCCTATTTGTCATGTTTTCTTCATTTTAGGGTGATCATTTCTATATCCTTTTGGGGATTGTAGACTACTTTGAATATCAGGTGGAAATCAGGAACCCTTTCCCTGGAAAAATGTGCATAAATACATGCAAGATTACATGTATCACTTTGTATAGAATTCTGAGAGCTCATGGGATTCCAACCATGGATTCTCCTCCTAAGATATTGATCTAGATAGTTTAGAGGTAATAATCCCCAACTTTCAGTCATGCACATGTTCAGTTATTTAAAAAATGAAAGAGTATATTAAATTCATCAATGAATACTCCTTAAACTCAACTGCGAATACTTGACCATATTTGTGTCTTCTCTCCTTCTCTGCTGGCTTTTCTCCTTCCCTCTCTCTTCACATGTACACACACTTTTTGTAGTACTATTTTTGAAAGTAAGTTGTAGACATTATGACACATCACTCCTACATATTTCAACATGTTTGTTCTGAGCATCAGGTCATTCTCCTACATTATCCCACCTATGAAAGTAGCAGTGACACTGTCTAGGATCCAGGCTATCTTCATATTTCCCTAACTGCTACAAGAATGTGTTCGATGGACTTTTCCTTTTTTGGATATTTGGAATCAGGATACAGTTTAGTTCATGTACAATAATTGGTTGTTATGTCTTTAGTCTAGAAAAGCTTTTTTTTCCCCTAAATTTTAATGACATGGCCTTTCCAACGTGGTTCAATATTTAGTAGTATTCATTGTAGAATATTCCATACCTGGATTTGTCTGAGTGTTTACTTATAGTTTCATTTAACTTCCACTAGTCCCTATATTTCCTACTGGAATTTAGATTAGAGTTGGATTAAACAATTTGGTAATAATATATGTGACATCCTATTATTCATACTGAGCCACATAAAAGATGTATAATGTCATGTTATCCCACTGTGAGGGTTGCTGAGTTTGATGGAACTTTTGTAGAAATAAAATTATTTTTCATATCATGTTCTTAATTTCAGATATACAGGTAATTTTTTCAAGTGATGTGTTTCATTTCAGGCTTAAATTTTTCTTCTGTTAAATTACAGGAAAGAAATGTAATCCTACCTATTCCATTTATATAGTAGGTTTATATAGTAGGTGTGGACTCTGTCTTAGTCTGCATGGGCTTTCATGACAGAATTCCACAGGCTGGGAAGCTTAAACAATAGACTTCATTTCTCATTGTTCTGGGGGCTGGAAGCTCAAGGTCAGGTGTTAGCAGGTTTGATTTCTTTTTTTCTTCTTTTATTTTTTGTTGAAGTATAGTTGATATAGAATATTGGTTTCAAGTGTACAACGTAGTGATTCAACAGTTATCTATATTATAAATGCTCAGGTATGGGGGTTTTTTTTGAGGACTCCCTCCTTGGCTTGCAGACAGCTGCCTTTTCTCTCTGTCCTCACGTGGCCTGTCCTCTGTGCACCCATTCCTGGCATGTCTTCCTTTTCACATGAGGTCACCAGTCCTATTGGATTAGGGCCCCACCCTCATGACCACATTCAACCTTAATTATCTCTTCATGGGACCTATCTCCAAATACTGTCTCATTAGGGGTAAGGGATTAACATAGGAATTTTGAGGGGAAACAGTGTCTAAGAGATTCATAAAAATATTTAGAATAATAGAAAATTCACAGAAGAGACAGTTACATAAACTCAGCTTGATAAACTTGGCATGTATTTATAAATAGAATGGTATTTATAGTGTTTGGAAGAAAAACCAAATGATGTAAATAGAAAATGTCAAATAAGTAAAGATGAATATGACTGGACTATGGGTCCAAGTTGATCGATAGCAATGCAACAGTGAAGCCTTTGTGATTACCAGGAGTGCCAAGCATCACACAGCATGTGGGAGGAGAACGCATGGTTCCTCTGCGTTCTCCAGGGGTCTGGGAGAATACCATGCCTCTTGACATAGGAGAGCACTTTGAGACACCTACATTTACAAGCAGCCATCCAGCATGCTTTGACTTTTAGCTGAATATCAGTTCACTTTGAGAACCTTTCAAGTGGAGAGGGCTGCTGAGAATTAGAGATGGATTTCCACCAGGAAAGGTAAAGATGCTGGCACGTGATCCAGTGTGTTCCAGGAATGAGCATGGCTCTCCCAAGAGGTCCATGAGAGCTGGTGGAGCTGGGTCCCTGGAGGGCAGGACAGAAGGAAAATCTTCCACTCCCATCTGTGGAAGTCAGGTTGAATGAGGAAGAATTTTGTGGTTTCTGTTCCCAAGTGAAAGAGCATGCCTAAATCAGTAC